GGGGGAGAGATGTTGTTTTATTTTATAGCACAGAAAGATTTTTAAATTGGCTCATCGGAAGTTGCCAACTAGAAATTATGTGTGAAGCGGGGAAAAGGGAGGCGAAAGTTTAAAAACTTAAAAAGTCCAACATTGATAATTAAAAAAAAAAAAAAAAAAGTCTTCCCAGGAAGCAGCCAAGCTCTCTGGTTAGCAGAGAGGCTCCTGGTTCCCCCTGGCTCATAGCATCCCCCCGACTGTGGCTTGGAGCATGGGGCACCCGTGTCAGGGAGCTCTGGGTGTTAGTGCCTTTTATCACTCCCTTCTTCAAATGCTCTGGTAAGGAAAGTCACCATTTCTTTTTTTTTTTGAATTCCAAACAACCAAACCATTAAAATTCACAGGAATGCAAAAAATGCAGCCTGTGTAGGGGTCGCTTTAGGGTGGCCATGGAAACAGAGGCCCGGCCTTCTGCCAAGTCTTCCAGCCTCCACCCTGTGTCCTCCCGTCACACTGAGGACGCTGAGGCCAGGAGCCCAAGAATCTGACCCTAGCTCCTGTGACCCTAGCTCCTGTGACACTAAAGCTCACGTGTCTGGTTGTGCTTGGAATTTACCACACTCACATGTGAGCCTAGTGGGATGGGCAGCGGTGGTCACAGAGTGACCTCTGAGTGGAGGCTGCCACTCAGCTTTGCGGGGGCCTGTCCCCTGGCCTGGCTTATGGGATTGGTGACGGCTGCCTGTCTCAGCCAGGTCACTCAATTTATGGAATTGCCCCACCATGTCTAAAACTGGGCAGCGAGGCCCCTTGATCCAGACCGCCTCTTGAAGCAAGGTGTTGCCCGACTGAAGTGAGGCCGCTACCTGGGCCTTCACGTAAGAATGACTGCAGCCAGCCCCCCAGTGGTGCTGGGCGTGTGTGTGGCGTCACCAATCCTGGCCTGTATGTGACTCCCCAGGGTCCTCCACCAGCAGCCTGGCCCCAGGCCCCGAGCCGGGTCCCCAGTCCACCCTGCACGTCCAGGCGCAGGTCAACAACAGCAACAACAAGAAAGGCACCTTCACGGACGACCTGCACAAGCTGGTGGACCAGTGGACGACCAAGACGGTGGGGGCGGCACAGCTGAAGCCGACGCTCAACCAGCTGAAGCAGACGCAGAAGCTGCACGACATGGAGGCCCCCGGCGAGGCACGGGCTGTGAGTGCAGGGCGGGCCCTCCCAGGGCAGGGGCGTGTGACAGGGCGATGGCAGCCGTGCCTAGTAGGTGCTAGTACCCTATGTGTCAGATGTGAGCCAGAAGTTAGGCTTCCCCTTTTATGGGTCAGGAGGTAAGTGACTGGCCTGTGGTCCTGTGGTCACACGTGGAAGGGACAGGTTGGGCTGGGGCTGGACTCCTGAGCATGGCTGCAGGAGCAGCCTCAGCCTGGCCAGCCTAAGCACCCCCCCCGCCCCCCCCCCGCCGCCCCCAGCTTAGAGCTGGTGGGTGTGGCCTTACCTCAGCAGCCTGACCCCCACCTGCATTCTGCCCATCCCCAGGCTGGAGGAGGGGGCAAGTCTGCACATCATCCTTGAGTGACAGCCAGCATTAGACCTTGGCTCACATGCACCCAGGCCGACTTGGGGAAGGGCATGGAGTCACTCTCTGAGGTCTTGGCATGTGATACATTTTGGGGTGAGGACTAGTTGGAGGAGGGTTTCCTCTCTTCCAGTTTTTGCAAGGAGTTTTTAAGGTTGGTGTTATTTCTGCCTTAAATGTTTGGGCTGCAGTATTTTGTTTCTGTTTTAGTGTAGGAAACACCCCTCTAGGAACCTGTGCTTTGAAAAAATTTAAACACACAGAAGCATTGTAAAGTCTGTGGTGAACACCCACCTGCCACCACTCACACTCTGATGGACGTTTTACTGTATTTACCACATATCTGTCCATCCGYTGAGGGTGAGGTTTGTGTTACGGATCCAGGGTTTTCTACAGTTTTGATACCATTTAGATTTTCTATATCTTCTTGGCAGTCTTGCTTTCCTGGCAAATTTCTACCTTTCCACTAAATTTATCTAAATTTTCAAATCAATTGCCATGGAATTGCTGACAATATCTGTTGTTTTTACAGTTTGCAAGATTTACAGTGATACCCTGTTTTTAATTCCTGATATCGGTGATTTCTGCTTGCTCTTGTGCGATCTCGATCTCGACCTCTCTCTCTCTCTCTCTCTCTCTCTCTCTCTCTCTCTCTCTCTCTCTCTGCCTCCTCCTTCTCTTTCCCCTTTCCTTATCTCCTTAGAGAGCTCATTTTATCTTTGATGTTATTCGTTATTACAAGCTTCATTGATTTCTTCCTTATACATTATTTTTTATTTCTGTCTCTGGCCTTATTCCATTCTAGAAATCTTAAGATGTAGAGTTTGTTGATTTCTAGCCTTCCTTTGATAATGTAAGCATCCAAGGCTATAAAAATTCCCTCTAATGGTTTGGCTGCGTCCCTAAAGTTTTGATATGTACCATTTTCACTAACCTTCATTCCAAAATAGTTTCTCATTTCCACTGTGATCTAAAGTGTGGGTAATTATTTTCTAACAACCTTCTTGCCAGTCTTTTCTAGTTTAGCTATGCTCTGAGATGTGCTTCCAGTTCTTTGAAGTTTTCTGAGACTTGCGTTTGATCCACGTTGTCAACCTTTGTCTCTGTCCCTTGTACACCTGAGCTGGATCTGTTTCTTTCCCTCTCCACATCCACACCCCCCAGGTGCACTACCCTTATTTCTTTTCTGAATGGCAGCAAAGCCCTTGGGACCAGGCTCTTTATCAGTTCCACCCCTCTAATCCATTTTCTGTGGAATCACATTCTAGGACAAAGTGGGTGATTCTGAATAAGTTCCAGGACCTGAAGGGGTCTGCTCCTGAGCCTGGGCAGGCCCAGCTCTGGGCTCCAGTCACATCAGCTAATCCTGCTGGTCAAACACTGCATTCTTAATAAGTTTTTTTTAAATTGTGATAAAATATATTTAACATAAAATCTACCACTTTTACCATTTTCAAGTAGATGGAGGGTTTCAGTGGCATTAAGTCCATTCATATTGTTGTACCATGTCGCCTTCCATCCACAGAACATTTCCATCTTCTCAAACAGAAATTCTGTCCCCATTGGAACCCTAACTCCCCATTTCCTCTCCCCAGTCCCTGGCATCTGCCTTTCTAGTTTCTGAGTTTGACTATGTTTGGGACCTTACATGAGTGGAATCATACAATACATGGTCTTTGGTGACTGGCTTATTTCACTTAGCACACTTTCAAGGTCCGTCTGCACTGTGGCATATATCAGAACTCCAAACCTTTTTTCCCCATTATTGTATTGTGGCAAAGCTCACGTAACATAAAATTGACCATCTTCAACATTTTTTTAAACATTTATTTTTTAGCTGTAGGTGGACACAATACCTTTATTCCATTTTTAGGTGGTGCTGAGGATCAAACCCAATGGCCCACGCATGCTAGGTGAGTGCTCTCCCTCTGAGCCACAACTCCAGCCCTTCCAACTTAAACGTTTTTAAGTACACACTTCAGTGGTGCAGCCATCACCATCATCTTTCATCTCCAGAATTCTTTTCATCTTCCAAAATGGAAATTCTGTCCCTATTAAACCATAGCTCTTCGTTGCTCACTTCCCTACCCCTGGAAACTACCTTTCTGCCTTTTGTCTGTTGACTCCTCTAGGTAGCTCCTGTGAGTGGAATCGTACAGCATTTGTCTAACTGGCTTATTTCACCTAGCATGACGTTCTCAAGGGTCATCAGTGTTGTAGCATGTGTCTCAATTTCCTTCCTTTTTGTCTGTCCATTCATCCAAGCACTGCCATTGCTTCTGCATGGCAGCTGTTGTGAATAATGCCGGGGTGAACAAATACCCCTTCTGATCCCTGCTTTTGATTGCTTCAAGTATATACCCAAAAGGAGAATTGCTGGATTGTATGGTAACTCTATTTTTAATTTTTTGAGGAGCCTCCATACTGTTTTCAACAGCAGCTACACTATTTTACATTCCCAGCAACAGTGCAGAAGGATTCAGTTTTCCCACATCTCAACCAACAGTAATTATTTTCTGGTTTTTGTTTGTTTGGTTTTGATAGTGGTCTTCCTGAGAGGTGGTATCTTGTGGTTTTGCATCTATTTCTGTGCTTATTAGCCATTCGTAACATCTTCTTTGGAGAAATGTCTATTTGAATCCTTTGCTCATTTTCAAATGGGGTGGTTTGGTTTCTTGTTATAGTTTTAAGAATCATCCATGTATTCTGGACATTAATTCCCTATGAGATAGGAGATTTGCAAATATTTTCTCCCATTCTGTCCCTTTTCTTTTTACTCTGTTGATAGTATCTTTTAATGCATAGAAGTTTTTACATTTGTCTTTTTTTTTTTTCCTTTTGTTTCCTGTACCTTTGGGGACATATCCAAGAAATCATCATCACATTTAACATCACGAAGTTTTCCCTTTATGATTTCTCCTAAGAGTTTTTTAGTTTCAAATTTACATTTAGATCTTTGCTCCATGTGAGTTAATTTTTGGATATGGTATTAGGTAAGGATCCAGCTTCATCGTTTTGCACATGGATATCATTTTCCCTGTAGCATGTTTGAAAAACATGCTTTCATTTCATTTCCTCACTGAATTGGCTTATTATTATGCTTGTCATTACATTTTAACATTTTAAGAACACTATCTTACAATTCTTTTTTTAAAAATATTTTTTAGTTGTCAGTGGACCTTTATTTTATTTAGTGGTGCTGAGAATCGAACTCAGTGCCTCACACATGCTAGTCAAGCACTCTACTACTGAGCCACAGCCCAGCCCCAGTCTTACAATTCTTGAACATGGGATTTCTTTCCATTTTTATGTCTTCTTTAGTCTCTTGAACTTCATTCCCCTTTTTATTAATATTATTTCATTTTATGGGTATGCCACATAGTGTTCATACATTCATTAAGTGATGGACACGTGAGTTATTTAATGCTACTGAGAACACTGGTACACACATACCTATTTGAGCCCCTGCTTTCAGTTCTTTGGAGTGTGTACCCCGAGGTGGGAGAGCTACATCACCTGGTGATCCTATGTGCAGCTTATCTTTCTCTATTCCTTTACTCTCCGCTTCTTTGTGTCTTTGTATCTAAAGTGAGTGTCTTTCATAGGCAGATATAAACCTGCCGTGGCCTTTTATTCATTCTGCCAATGTCTTCTTGTTCATTGTAGATTTAATCCTTTTGCATTTAAAGTAAACATAAATAAGAATTCACCTTTTAACTACTTGTTTTCTGGATGTCTATACATTTTCACTCTTTAATCTTCCATTAGTGCCCTTTTAAAAAGTCAGTGGTTTGTTGTTGTTGTATACCATTTTTATTCCCTTCCTGTTTATCTGTCTCTATATATTTTATTTTCTTAGTGGCTACCTTGGGGTTTTCAATTAGCATCTTGACCTTATTACAACCCATTTTTTAAAAATGTTTTTTTAGGTGTCAGTGGATCTTTTTTTTGGTTTATTTATATGTGATGCTGAGAATTCAACCCAGTGTTTCACACATGCTGGGCAAGTGCTCTACCACTGAACCTACAACCCCAGCCCTTACAACCTATTTTGAATAATGCCAAATTAGCAGGGTGTGTTGGTGCAGGCCTATAATCCCAGCAGCTTTGGAGGCTGAGGCAGGAGTATTGCAAGTTCAAAGCCAGCCTCAGCAAAAGCAAGGCACTAAGCAACTCAGTGAGACCCTGTCACTAAATAAAATACAAAATAGGGCTGGAGATGTGGCTCAGGGGTCGAGTGTCCCTGAGTTCAATCCCCTATACCAAAAAAAAAGGGATAATGTCAAATTGGTTTTAGTAGCCTACTAACTCTGCTTCTGACATCTCCATCTCTTGCCCTTTATATTGTTTTTGTATAGACTGTATCTATATACATCATATGCCCATTAAAATCAATTTGTAACTACTGTATGATGTATTTGCTTTTTAACTCATATGGGGAAAAGAGGAGGGAAACTAAAAATATAATAATACTCATTTATTTTCTTATGTGACTATTTCTTTCTCTGGCTTTGCGTTACTGTCTATTGTCACTTCATTTTAGCTTAGAGGACTCCCTTTTATATTTCTTGTGGGAAATATCTATTAGTAACAACATTTATTAGCTTTTGTTTTTCCAGAAGGCTTAATTTCTCTTTAACTATTGAAGGATTGTTTTTCTGGATGTAGACTTGTTGGATGACAGTTTGTTCTTCCTGCACTAAATATATCATCCTCTGTGTCTGACCTCCAGGGTTTCTGTTAAGAAACCAACTGTTAAGCTTATTGAGGGTCCCTCATAAGAGACACCTCGCTTCTCTCTTGCTGCTTTCAAGATTTTCTATTTCTCTTTGGCTTTTGATAATTTGACTATGATATATCTCAGTGTGGATCTCTTTAATTTGTCCTGCTTGGAGTTCATGAGCTTTTGAGATGTGTAGATTCATGTCTTCATGCAATTTGGCAGTTTTTTTGGGCTATTACTTCTTCGGATATTGTTTTTGCACACCTCTTTCTCTCTTCTTCTGTGACTCCCCTAAGGAGTAATTGGTCCACTTAGTGGAGCTCCTCTTAAGACCTCTTAGGCTCTGTTCACTTTTCTTCATTCTTTCTCTGTTTTTGTTCCTTAAACCTGGTCATTTCAATGGCAGTATCTCAAGCTTGATGGTTCTTTTTTCTCTACCTCAAATTCTGTTTTGCCTCTCTAATGAATTTTAAAATTTCATTTATGCTCTTTAGCTATTATATTTCAATTTAAGTCCTTTTATAATTTCTATCTGTTGATATACTCATTTTGTTTATATATCATTTTCCTGTTTCCTTCAGTTCTCTGCCAATGGTTTCCTTTAGCTCTTTCAACATATTTAATATAGTTCATTTAAAATCTTTGTCTAGTGAGTTCAACCTCCTCAGGGACAGTTTCCATCAGTTAATTTTTTTCTTCTGAGTGGAACATTGTTTCCTGATTTCTTTTCCTTTAGCTCACTAAATTTCCCTTTGTGCCTAAACTAGTAAACCTATCCATTGAGCTTTTAATTTTGGTTATTGCCTTTTTCCATTAAAGAGCTTCTATTTGCTTCCACCCAGACACACACATGCACGTGCGTGTTCACACACACACACACACACACACACCTGCTATTTCATTTTTTTAAAAAATTTCCAATTCTGAAAAAATTCTCAATCTTGTAATCTTCTTCACATTGTAATTTATGGTTTCTGCTTTCTCTTTTTCCCTAATTTTTCTCTAAAGTGCCTTGGTCTTTTCTTTTGTGTATTTAAATATTATATACATTTCTTGCAAAAAGAATTTGAGGCATAACAGTAGCTTTCTCATTATCATTTTAATTTCCCCTTGAGCACCTTTTCATATTCTTAGCAGCTATTTTCTGTAAAGTACCTTGGTCAAGGTTATTAACCGCTTAAACATTTACTTGCTTATCTTTTTTATTGATTTGTGGGAGTTCATTATATCTTTTGTCATACATATTGTGGATTTGTTCTGCCAATAGGTGGTTGTTTTTTTTTTTTTTTCAATTTGTTTTGGCCAAAGCGAAGTGGAAGTTTTAATTTTTTTTTCCTAGAAGCTTCATAGTTTTAGCTATTGCATGTAGGCCTGTGAGTCATCAAAAATCACAAGTGTATTTTGGTTTGGTTTGGTTTGGTTTGGTACCAGGGATTGAACTCAGGGCACTTAACCCTGAGCCACATCCCCAGCCCATTTTTTTAAAATATTTGTTTTTTAGTTATAGGTGGACACGATATCTTTATTTTATTTTTATGTGGTGCTGAGGATTGAACCCAGTGCCTCATGCATGCTAGGTGAGCACTCTACCACTGAGCCACAACCCCAGCACCCCCAGCCCATTTAAAAAAATTTTTTTTTTTTAAATTTTGAGACAGGGCCTCACTATTGTTGTTGAGGCTGGCTTTGAATCTGCAGTCCTCCTCCCTTAGCCTCCTGAGCTACTGGAATTCCATATTTGTGCCACTGCACTCAGCTGGAATGTGTCAGTCTGTGTGTTTTCCTACATGCCTATCTGCTGATTTAGCGCTTTTCTTTCCAGATGGAATTGCAGATATTTGTCAAAATGCCATATATGTGTAGGTCCTTTGCCGAACTTGTTCTGTTGCCTTTATGGCAGTACTACACTCTCTTATTGTATCTTAACTTTATAGTAAGTTTAATGGCTGGTAGGACAAGGCCTCCAGTGTTGATCTTCTTTAAGGATGTCTTGATTTTCTTTGATCCTTAATATTTGAATGTATGTTTTAAATAACCCACTGAGGTTTTGGTTGGAAGTATACAAGTCTGCTGATCAACTTGGTGAGATTTGACATAATAAACATGTTGAGTAAACTTGGCAGCTGTTTATTTGTATCTTTTTAAAATTTCTTTTCAGTGTGAAGATGTTATACATCTCTCATTAAATTTAACCCAGGGTAGCTGATGTGTGCAATGCTGTGAGAAATTGCATTGTTCTTTAAATTTCATGTTCGGGTTGTGTCTTGCTTGTGTGTAGAAATAGGGTTGCTTTTTGTACCTGGTAGCCTGCAGTCTTGCTGGATTTGCTTATTAGTTTGAGAAGTTGGTTTGGCTATTCTTGTGGGTTTTCTGTGTACACAATCTTGTCGTCTGCAGATAAGATAGTTTTCCTTTTCTTGCCTTGACTGGGCCCCCCCTCCCCAGCCAAGCATGGGGGACTTGCAGGAAGCAGTCAACATTTCACTAGCAGCAGGACTTGGCTCCAGGTTGCTGAGCAGACTTCCCACAAGGCATGTGGAAGGTGGTGGTACCCTCCGCGTCCATGGAGAACATCCAGTGCTCTCCACGGGTTTGGTTTGGTGTTTGTTGTTTGGGTTTGGTTTTTCATGCTGAGGATGGAACCCAGGGCCTCGGGCATGCCCTGTGAGCGCTCTACCACGAAGCTGCAATCTTCAGCCCTTCCCTTGGGTTCTTACTGGACTGAGGTGGAGTGAGTCCCAGCGGGTCAGTGGTCTGGCATTCCCCACCTGGTTATGCTGTTTTGTCATATAAAACAGTTGATTTATTCAATTTGCTAGCTTTTTGGTTAGGATATAAAGGCTGTTCACCCTGGATCTCCTTTTTTGAGGTCGTCTTGCCAGGTTTCTGTCTCACAAGGTGTTGGTCTTGGGGCACCAGCGGCTCCTGTCCCTGTCTTTGAAGCACTCTGCCCTGGACAGAGAGTGCAGAGGACCGCCCTCGCCAACCCTCGCGCACACTTGTTGTGCCCCCGCGCCCACTGGAGAGCCTGCTCCCGCACAGCTCCTGGGCTGTTCTAGTTGCGGTAACATCACTGACCAGTCTGGTGGGGCACCATGGTCCCCACTGGTTGGGAGAGTGTGCATTGCTTATGTGCCCTTAGGGCTTGTGGGCCCGTGGGTTCTACTCCAAGGCCCACTGTGGCCCATGGACAACCAGAGCTTGTGTCCCGGAGATGGCCAGGATGCAGCCTTGGGAAGTGAGGAGGGAGAGCAGCTGCTTCCCAGCCCTTGTCATTCTGTCATTCTGGTGTCATCTTTAGAGGGTGCCCATCCATGGCAAGCCCAGGGATCGCTCTTTCCTAGGACTGAGACACTTCAGGAACCACCAGGCCACGAGAGGAATGCGGCTGACCCCAGCCCCGTGCCCCCCCCCCTCTTCTTGTCTTCTTTAGATGGCCACACCTCGAGCAGGAATGGGGACGCCGTGTCTGGCCCCAGTGCCCGGCCCTCCGTGCACCACGGCCATCCCTGGAGCCGCCCCGGTCTTGCCTGTGCCCACACCAGGTACTGCCCACTCCAGCCTTCCAGCCCCACCCTGTGCACTGCCTCTGGGTCAGTACGGAGGCCTGCTCCCCGCTCCAGTGTCCTGGGGGCCTTGGGCAGCCCAGAGGGGCCCGCCGGGGGCTTGGGGCAGCTGGGGCCCTGCCCAGGTGCCTGTGCTGCCAGTGTTTCTGGGGCCACCCGCTGTCGGCCCACCTGGCCCCTGGCTGCACATCACTTAGCCCCTGCCCTGCCCCTGGCCAGGTGGATTGCTCTGGACCCTGGAGGAATCCTGTTGTGTTGTGGCCTCTGGGTGCCTCCACCACTGTGGGCACAGGCCCAGCCTCCAGGGGGCACTCGTGGGCGGCAGGACCCCCCCACCGCTTCAGACCCCATTCGCTCTTAGGTCCCCACGGGCTGCACTCCCCCACCGTGTTCACACCCACACTGTCTGTCCCTGAGCTGAAGGTTAGAGAGCCGCCTTCGCCCTACAGAAGTGCAGTGCCTTGGATTCCCGTCTTCCCTCCCCCCATTTATCAAAAAAGGTGTATCTCATTTACCTTTGGCTTCTGCGTGGAGATCACTACCGTGTTCAGATGAAGACATATGAATGGGCTTACGAAGCTGAAGCAGAAGCCTTTAGTTTTCTGTTGTCAATTCCTTTTTTTATAAGAAAATTGAATTAATGACCTTGAATATTGAGGAGCTGCAAATGATAGGTCCTCTGCAGCGGGAAGTCTCCCTGGGCATTCAGTGGCAGAGGGACGGTCAGGCAGGGTATGTTCAGGGAAGCTGGTCTCTCAGTAAGGAATGTCAGCAACCTGGACCACACGGAACCTGCCAGAAAACACTTACTGAGCAAATGCCCTGGTAGCCTGCAGCTGTCCTGCCTACAGAGGGCAAGCACCACCCCTCGGCTCAGGGCCTCCCCACCCACTTTTCTTTGCTTTTCCATGATTTTCATGGAGGCTGTGATCTGTCCACTCTGACCTCCAAATCCCCGTCCAGGACAGCCCGAGCCCAGCCTGCTCAGGAGCATCCTCTGGAGGTTTCAGTGGGACTCCCAGGTGGGAGGTGAAAGCCCCGCCCCCACCCCTCTGTGCAGACATTTTCCACTTTCTGCTGGAAGACGGGCTGCCTGGAGCTGCCCCGTGTGAATCGTGCGGTTCTGCTGTTCTTACCAGAACCAGCTGGATTATCTTGGTTTAATATACCATTCCATCAATTCAGTTAGATCTGAATTTCCTAGGGGACTGTGCAGAATCTTCTGCCCGGACTTAACACCGCAGTTGGAGATTTCTGTTCTCTGTGTCTGGTCCGAGAATCGCGTGGGCCTCTTAGTGAAGTGGAGGCTGCCCTCCACCGCCCTCCCACCCGTCCCGTCCCCCTCCCTCGCGCCTGAATCCTTTCCTCCTACAACGACAGTGGTGGCACGGGATCCCCAAGAGCTTGTACATGTGAAGGACAAAAATAAACATTTTTGCTTGAAAACACTGTGAAACACATCTGTTTCTTAGCCTCTGTCCACACACAGGCCAAACTGGTCATAGTGGTGGCCCAGGAGGGCCTGACCCGGCCTCTGCCTTGAGCCTGAAGCCCCCTGCCCAAGCTCTGGAGGAGGGTGCTGATGCAGTTGGGAGACTGAGAGCAAGGCCCCCAGCGGGGTCAGCTGCCCCCAGCACTGCTCCTGCCTGATGCAGCCTGGGCCCTGAGGTCATCTGCTGGCCCCAGGCCTAGGTCAGCTGTTACTGGGCCACCATCACTCTGCTTCTGAGTCACCTTTAGAAGACTCAGACAGAGGTCCTATAGGTGCTGCCCCAGAAAGCCCAGCTGCAGGCTCATGGACTGTGGTCCCAAGCCCCCGTTTCTCTTCCTGGTGGGCTGAACTCAGCACAGACAGGGGCTCTGCTTCAGGATCACGGGCCTATGGAGAACAGGCTTGGGGCTAGGTAACATGGGTTACATGAGGGTGCCAGCCTTCCTGATAGGCCTGGGGAGAAGACCTGCCCTGTGTGGTCCCAGCTGGCCCTCTCTCAGTGGCCTGGTGCTAGATGGCTTTTTCCCCCCACCTTTGCCACACAGTTGGGCCTGATCCTGACCAATTGAGGTCTGCAGCRTCTCTGGGACCTTCCAATTAGTGGGGATCGCCTCTGCTGCCCTGCTGTGTTCCCACCGAGATACAGCACCAGGCCTCGTGCCTCTGCTTAGGGGACAAGGGAAGCCCTGTCCCAGACCCAGCGCAGAGCCCCACGGCTCAGGCCTGGACCATGCATAGGGTAACACGCCTGGATGCTGGGGCTCAACAGCACTGGGCAGCCCTGTCTGGGCTTGGGAGGTCATTTCATGTGCCTAGATGGTCACAGGAAGATACCTAGACCACAGGCCACCAGGACTCTCCACGGGGCATGACCATTGTCAGGCCGGCCCCGATCCAGCTTTGCCATTCCACCTTCAGTTCAGCAGCCCCCAGGAGAGTGGGCCAGGTGCCCCAGGGCAGAGCCACATTCAAGGGCATCAGGGCCTGGCCCTCAGTAAAAGGCCAGCACCTCAGAGGCTGTAACGAGCTGTGGTGGTTTTGTTTTCTAGATCCCGAGAGTGAAAAACCCGACTGACCCAGCCCCGATGCCAGGCCCACCACGCATCGTCTAAGTGAAGAAGTGACAGACCTTCAGGGCCAGCCCACTCCTCGAGTCCAGTTCACGCTGTTTTGTAACCACTTTCTAAGCATTTTTTATTCACAATTGGAAACACAAATGTAATGCAAGAATAAAAAATATTTTGGGGGAGAAAGGACTTTGGTTTTTCAAACTTCTCCTTTCTGGTAGCCCCTTGGCAGGCATGCGATGCCCACGTGAGGGGCGGAGGTGAAGACACAGGAAAGTCTTCTTTCCCAGGAGCCTGGCATGCCCTGACAGCCTGTCCTCTGCAGGGCTTTGGGGGCTCATCTCTAAGCTCTCCCTCCTAGTCACAGGCTTGGGGTCCCCTTTGCTCACATGACTCCATGGAGGGTGGAGACACACACACACACACACACACACACACACACACACACACACCAGTGGCACAGGCACGAGGGCTGTGGTAGAATTCTAGGGTCCCATGCATCAGAACTACATCTTGACGTTCATTAATTTTCCTCCAGTGACGGACGTGGAGTCGTTGGCAGTCCCCAGGCTTCATCACTGCTAGAGACCCCGAGACTGCCATCATATGGGTGATTGCCAGCATCCCAAAAGGTTGCATCCATCACAACAAAATGCCCAGCCCCTGGAATTTAAAGGGCATCTCCTTAAAGAGCTGCTCAATTCTCTAGGACTTGGGAAAACCCAGCAACTCTTGGGGAAGTGAGTATTTCCTGGGGATTCCAAGGTCATGCGATGCCACAATTGTGTCTGGAGCTCACAGTCTGAGGCCCTAACATGAGAGCCCAGTCTTGACTTAGGTTGTTTCTTTAGGAAACAAGAACATGGTGTTTTAGTCAACTTGGGCTGCTGTACAAAACACCATAGACTGGTTAGCTTAGACCATAGAGATTCATTTCTCACGGTTCCAGAGGCTGGGCGGTCCAAGACCAAGCTGACTGAATGGTAGGTTTTATTTTGAGGGCTCTTCTCTTGATGTGGGTAGCTGCCATCTTGCTGCGTGCCTGCTTGAGCTCTGGGTGCATGGAGAGACTGCTCTGCTTCTCATAAGACACCAATCTTACCAGATCGGGCCCCAATCTTGTGTTTTATTTAGCCTTATTTAGGCCCTGTCTCCAGAGAGATTCACAGCGGGGGCGGGGGGGGGGTTAGGGCTTCAATGTATGAGTGATGGGGATATGAACATTCAGTGCACAGTGCATGGCTTATTAAAGAGTTCTGCTCATGGTCCATTTATTAGGTAGGAACTAGCTATACTTGTTTCTACTTGCACATGCTTAACTTTAAAACTAAAGTCAGTAGCCTGGGGGAGGGGGGGAGGTGGTGGGAGAGGAATCAAGACATCTTTGTGGCAGAAAAATTAAAGATAGAAATAAACCTGCTGCCTTCTTTCCTGGGCCCCTCTTCAGCTCATGAGATAGATCCCATGCAGCCCTTCCAGCCCAAAAACATCAGAATCATGGACTCCAGAAGACAATGGCCAGCAGTGACCACACCAGGCCATCTGCACAAGAACTGGCCAGACAGACAAATGCCAAGGGATACAGAGCTCTTGGTTAGAACTCAAGCACACAGAACACAGAAGAACAAGAAGAACAAAGAAAGGACAGATGAAATAAATAAAAATCAAATAGTAAGAAGATAGACTTAAACCTAAGGACATTTGGTGATGGTATATAAATGGTATAATGACTTTAGTTCAAAGAAGTTGTCAGCCCGGCTCAGTGGTGCATGCCTTGTAATCCCAGAGACTCAGGAGGATGAGACATGAGGACCTCAACTTTAAGACCAAGTTCAGCAACTTAGCGAGGCCCTGTCTCAAAACATTTTTTTAAAAAGGGCTAGAGATGTGGCTCAGTGATAAAGCACCCCTGAATTAGATTCCCAGTACCAACCAAAAAAAAAAAAGAAGAAGAAGTTGTCAGATGTGACTTAATGAACAGTAAAATTGAAGTATACATAGGCTGCCTCCAATAAGCATACCTTAAATATAGGAATACAGGATAAGGTAAACCATGAACAAAGATATACTTTCCTAACATTAATCAAAGGAAAGATAAAGTAGCTCCATTAAAAGTCAAACTATGTAGGTTTCAGAGCAAAGTTTATTACCAGGGCAAAGAGGATCATTTCATATTGATAATAGGATCAACTCATCAAGAAAACATATAATTCTATGTAATTGATGTAACTGATGTGATTCAGCAATCTGTATACAGGGTAAAAATGGGAGTTCATAACCCTTTTGAATCAAACTGTGAAATATGATATATCAAGTTAGATGTAATGTTTTGAACGACCAACAATAAATATATATATATATATATATATATATATAAAGAAAACATACAATTCTAAATGTTGGTGTACTTGATAATAGCTTCAAAATATATGAGGAAAACTGATAGAACTGCTAAGAAAAATAAACAAACAGTAATTATACTTCAGTGTCCCTCTCAGTGATTGACAGCCCCTGTAGACACACAATCAAGAGTCTGGCTCCAATATTTTGCTGTTTGACCACTGACAGCTTTTAAGCCACCTGTCTGTCTGTCTCTCCCCACCCGACTCCCCACCCGGCTTTCTGTTCCACATCCGAACAAGCCGAAAAGAAAGCCTGGGTGCTCTTTCCTTTGGCACCAGTCCATGAACTACTTCATACCATGAGTCCCTGACCACTTACCCCGACCCACACAGGCACCTCAACATGCCTCACCCCTGACCACCCTGAAAGCCCCAACTCAGTCTCCTTCCCTTATTTCCTCAACCCATTTTGGACCTTCTTGGGTGGAGATCTATCCCGTAAAGTGACCATAATAAATAATCACTGGGAATATAGAAGACTTGATGTCAACCAACTTGGCCTGGTTGACAGTTTCAAGGATGC